CCCTAATTCACCACAGCTGCTCTGCCAAGTGCTATACTAATCGTATCAACCTTTATATATACTCTGTTTTTTATATACAGCGCTATTGGTTTAGTGTAAACATGTGCAAAAAACATTCTCTACAGTAATCATATGCTCAAAAAATAATTGAATATAATTCAATAAAGTGTCCTTTGTGCTTCAGTAAAGTTTCTCTATGCATATAAAGTGTCCATGTGCTTCCAATTTTAATGCACAATATTTTCAAACTTCTTAAAGTGCACAGGTTAAAAAAAGTGCTTCGTTGCCAACAATCAGTGCCAAAGTATTCCTGTAATCCTCCACCATCCACACAGAACACTCACCAGATATATTTGACTACCTATCACAGGTTAGTCATATAGCACTTTATATCACAGATAACCACCATCAGGCTGGAGTACCACTGGCCCAGGAAGGAGAAGCCTGATGGTGGTTATCCAGAATACTAAAAGCAGCATGACTAACCTGTGTTAGATAGTCTTATAATTCTGGTAGGCCTTTTAGGCCCAGCGGGTGTAGAGGTACTCACACTGTTCTGTTCCTGTAGCTTTAAAGATGAAGCTGCTTTCAGGCCTTACTCTGGGCTGGCTTCATCCCCTGATGACAGGCTGTCCTTCCCTGGCAGACCGTAGAACAGTGGAGGTCCCTCTTTCCAGCTCCCAGCCTGTAGGTAGACCCACCTTCTCTGGGGCCCCCTCCACACCATCAGCACTTCCTCACTGCATCTTCCACCCATCTTCCCTGCTGGCCAAAATCTCTCATATTTATGGGCTGGTCTCCCACACTGCCAGGCCTCCTGCCTGGGATTGGTCAGACTCCCATAATTATGCAGATCAGTTCATCCCTACCTCCACCCACTGGCTTCTAGAAAATTCTAGAAGTCTCTAGAGCAAGGGGAGGTACCAGAGGACTGACCAGTAGAGCCCTCTAGCCCTAACCTAAATTAACATTGCTGACTCACACCCAGGCTTCTAGTAAGCCTCTAACTATACACAAAACAAATAATCTTACATTAGAGGGCGTTTACACTGGTAAAAATATAAAGGTAAAAGCAAGAAAAACTAAACTAATGCAACCACTACATGTAAGCACTGGTAGGCTTACATACATTACTTTTTTGTTCTTGAGTTCAGATATACTTTAAGAAAACAATCAGCTCTCCAGAAAGATAAAAACAAGGCTGTTTGTCGTGTTACTGCAACCTTTCTAAGACCTATTTCCTACATGTGAGAACAGGTGGTATAAATACTAACCCTGCTAAAATGCGCACAGGTACTCTGTGGTTGGACAGCTGTCTGGTTAATGTTTGTCTGCAGGCCTAGCACACTTGTCAAAATAATGATCAACTGCTTGCTGTGACTACAACAGCTATTATACCTAAAGTAGCTTTTGAGGCAAATCGGTCACCTTCCAGGCCGTGTTTGCTGCCACTTCAGTGCAATAACAAAGCTATTTAAGTTTTTAAAAGAGATCTAGCCCCATACTGTCAATTGATATTGTTGTGGATTGCAGTAGGCACAGAGAAACCACCCCATTGCATTGTCTGTAGTGCAATTACCTTGTCAGACCTATCTACAAATGCATTTTCCCTTTTCAAGTCATTGGCTGGTGCTCAGCTTTGACCAATTATACTATCCTCCTGGTTTTACTGCAGGAGCATGAAGATAGCCTTGGAACATGAATCTTGTAGCTGGGGCTCTTAGACATTCTCTGGGCCCTAGGCTCCTGCTTAGGTAGCCTTGTGGCTGATGTAGCTTTATGTATGGCCATAAATGGGATGAGTGACTGGAAATCCATGACATGCTGAAACAAGAATGAACTTGGACAAGGGTGTGAGTTAATGACCATGCATTGACATGCCTTGTGGTATAAGTTAATAATAAAAAAGCAGGTTGCGCTAAACAAATATACAATAAATAAACAAATCAAAATAAAATTCAATCAAAAAATATAGTGCAAAAAAAATAGTTCAATCGTGCGTTATATGCTGATTTATAACATGATCAGCATCACGCTCTGGTGAGTTTATTCAATCTAATCGGTGGTGGATGCACTTTTGGTGATATTTGGTTGAACATTTATTTTATCATGCATTATCTATTTTTGGACTTTTTTGGTTGGACTTATAATTTATTGATTTATTGAATTTTTGATTGAACAATTTTTTTGCACTATATGTTTTGATTGAATTTTATTTTGATTTGTTTATTTATTGTATATTCGTTTAGCGCAACCTGCTTTTTTATTATTTACACACCCTATTTTTATAGGCTAGATTCTGCAGCTATTTGTACACTGTGTTATTTGTTCCGTGGTGCTATCTATATTATTTTCCTTGTGGTATAAGTTGCTTGGCCACTGCCACAATTACCATCCAACAAATCACATTTAATTTTTAAGAAACACATTACCATTTAGTAAATATTAGTGAAACTCAGACTCTGCAAAGACCAAATTCTTTGTTCATGACTAGCTAGAATTTAAGACTTATTAAAATGCAACATTAAGGGCTCATGTACACGGGGCGTTTGAAAAACTTTCTGACTGATGGAAACTGACTGCTGGAAAACGTAGGTTAAAAAAAAAAACGTCAGTTTAGCCTCGTTTGCATACCGCATTTATGTGCGTTTGTGTTTAGAAGCATTTTTAAAAGATAACCTCAGGAAACCTTCCCAAATGCCCAGAATGCACTGAAAAATAGTAAAAAATTACCTATTTCAGACATTTTGAGGGGAATAGAGAGAGCAGAAGCCGAGAGAGCAGTATTTGTTGAGATGACCTGTCTCTTCTGGTTGTATTCACTGTGGATCCCATCATGAGCATTATGCAGCACGTTCTACCATTTTTTCCTGTAAGCAAAACCTGGAACTGACTGCCCTGGTGTACTAGGTCCATTTGAATACATGTAAACGCTTTGCCTGCATTTCTGGTTATGAAAAAAGGCTCTGGACAGCATATGGACATGGAACAGTTAAAAAAAACTAAACGTTTACACACATTTACAAGCATTTGGAATTTGAAACGCCATTAAAATCTTCTCCTGAATGCTTTGGCAAGTTTGGTGCGTTAAAAAAAACAAATGTAAGCTCAACTGCCTGTAAACGACATAGTGTACATGGACACATAGGAAAACATTAGGGAGAATTCAGAGACTGCTGAAAAAAACTGAACAGCTCCTGAACGTCAGTTTAGGAGCTGCAGTGTACATGACCCCGAATAAGTTGAATTGCCCAAGTACTACAAAGTTACATTTTAAACATTATTCTGCCCAACCTGCCGTCCATGGGCCGCAACTGGCCCAAGATGGCTATGAATTCCGCCCAACACAAAATCGTAAATATGCATTTACACTTAGCGAACATGGTGTCTTCTTGCTGGACTTTTGGAAGTTTTATTTTTCAAAAGAAAAATATCCTACTTTTCACAATCACGCCAGTTTTCAGCAGCGCACATATTTGTGAGCAACTATTTTCAAAGGTGAAGTGCATGAAGGACAAAATTAGAACCAAAATATCTGATGAGCACCTTGAGAATTCATTGAGAATTGCTACTACATCCATCGAACCAGATATTTATGTAGTAGTTTATCAGAAACAAATATTGCACTAGTTTTATGTTCCCCTCCTTTATTTTTATAATAAAAAAAAAAAAAAGTGCAAAAAATGAATTTTTATTACTCATTATCTATATCAGTGATCATTAACTTGTGATGTGCCCGACTTTTTCTCCTCATCAGCTATCCTTATTGTTAGTGTATTTTATGTGTGGCACAAGATAATTCCTCTCTTTCCTATGTGGCCCAGGAAAGTCAAACACCCTGTTCTAGACCAGTGTTTCTCAACCTTTTTTTCAGTCAAGGCACCCTTTAAAATTTTGGACAGTCCCAAGGCACCCTTTTAAAATTATGGACAGTTTTGAGCAGGGGCGGACTGACAACTCATGGGGCCCCCGGGCAATAGGAGATCATGGGGCCCCTGAGTCCTTGCCCAAACTCAAAAAAGCCTATGAAAAAGGTACCAGGGGCATCTCATGGGGCCCCCTACTGACCCCGGGCCCTCGGGCAGTGCCTGAGTTTCCAAAAGGTCAGTCCGCCCCTGGTTTTGAGGCACCCCATTCTAAAATGAGGTGCCTCAAGACTGTCCATAATTTTGAAAGGGCACCCCATTCTAAAGTGTAAAAAAAATATTCTAACCGCAACATCACACATGTAAGAGACCCAACATTAGAGGTGATTTATTCTTCTAAAGCAAACATACTTTTGCACACTGATACGGACTAGTATTCCAATGTTTCTCTTTCCCTTTTGGTTTTTCTCCATCACTGAGCTAATGTGACCCCAGCACTGACGAAGAGGGGCAGAAGAGGGTCAAACTAGGATGATGTGCAGGCAGCTGACATCCTCCTTTATCAACTGATGATGTTATTGGTTGTCAGGACGCTGGTGGCTAGAAGGTTGTAATGGTGCATAATGAAAACCTTTGGCGTTGTGTAACTAAAAGGCAGGCTTGTTCCACCCCTTGGCTTGTATACAAGTTTTGGGCAATTTTTTGACATTTTGCCAAGGCACCCCTGAAGAAACCTCAAGGCACCCCAGGGTGCCTGGGCACCCTGGTTGAGAGAGGCTGTTCTAGAGTATGCCTGGGCTGGAAGCAAGCTGTGGGGCCAATTGCAGTCATTTTGAGAGCTAATTAAATCCATAGCACTGTCAATACTACGTGAAAACAGTTTTATTTCTTTTTTTATTCTGTGGTTATGAAAAAAAAAAATTCTGTCTGTGTATGTACAGAATATATATTATATTATTCAGTGTTTGCAGAATCATATCTGCTGCTATTTTTTATTTTATATCAAGGTTGTCTGTACCAACGTCTGCTGCTATCCGTTACATTTTGTGGATCTATATTTGTGATGAATATCTCTGGAACATTTCCTGTCCATCCTCTTAACAGATGTCATTTTAACAGGCCAAGTCTCAACAGGAAAAACGACTGTGGATTTTGCATTTGAAAAGGCTGATATTGGAGAATCACCCTGCTAAAATACCAGCCAAGGTTTGTGCACACACTTGACATAGTTATGCTAAAGGGGAAACTGCTGCCTGGGTGGCTGAATTATGAAAACTGGAGCAAAAATAGGGTTGCTTCTCAAGGCACAATTATTTTATACGTAGCTAGGAAAGTGCACAATGGGAGCAGAATTCCCTGCTACATAGCCCTACTGGACAACAAAGAAGGTAGCATGCTCTCCGATCATTTAATTGCATACGCATTATGTCCTAGCCTGGGCACTCCCATAGAGTAGAATAGATTCATAAGACATAGGGGAACCTCCAGCTTTCATGTGCACTTGCAGATGTATGCAACCGAGACCTTGACCTTGTCCATGAATGTAGGTAAAGAGATCCCTTTCTGCTGGAGATTACGGCTGTCATCTGCTTTCATTTTTTAAAACAAAACTCCAGTGTGATTTATTTTTTTACATCGTTAGCAAATTTTTTTTATTTTCATATTGGGTACAAAACAGTAGATTTTCATTTCACCTTAACCCTTTTCAGTCTATACATTTATAAATTACACAACTTGCGTTTCATATGGAACGTGAGGTTAGTAAAAATGTGTAATCAAGCTAAAAAAATTTAATTCAGTCCACAAATCAAAAGTAAGGATATCCAAAAACATCTAGGCTAGTAGTGACATCTAGTGGTATATATTTGCATGGCCTAGTGTATATACAAGACATATAGGCTAGTAGTGACATCTAGTGGTATATATTTGCATGGCCTAGTGTATATACAAGACATATAGGCTAGAAGTGACACCTAGCTGTATATATTTGCATGGCCTAGTGTATATTCAAGACATATAGGCTAGTAGTGACACCTAGCTGTATATATTTGCATGGCCTAGTGTATATACAAGACATATAGGCTAGTAGTGACACCTAGCGGTATATATTTGCATGGCCTAGTGTATATACAAGACATATAGGCTAGTAGTGACACCTAGGGGTATATATTTGCATGGCCTAGTGTATATACAAGACATATAGGCTAGAAGTGACACCTAGCTGTATATATTTGCATGGCCTAGTGTATATACAAGACATATAGGCTAGTAGTGACACCTAGCGGTATATATTTGCATAGCATTTGCTGTTTCAATTCTCTACTAGAGCATTTCAGAGAGTGCTCCATAGGACATGCATACAATTTTACGCAATTAATGTGAACATTTTATTTATTCTGAAACACTATCATTTTGCAGAGTTATACATATATTTCCACAGGGGCATTCTGTGAAGTAGCCCTATGGGTTTTGTACTCCACGTTAGTCATTCTGGTGGAGCTTCTTATGCTGACCAGAACCACCTAGAAGTTCTAGTCAAACATTCTTTGCTTCTGCCTTTTGGCTCAGCAAAGGCTGGATAAGTTTTTAAAATCCAGTGAGAAATTTACTTAAAGCTGTACCATGTAAAAATTAAATTGATCTGGATGTCCTTTTTACTTTTGGAGTGAATAGGTAGATTAGAGATCAAGATTGTGAATATATGTAGGTATACCATTTTATTCTGTTTTGTGTTCATAAAAAACAATAAGCATAACTGGAAAAAGGTGAAAAAAAAAACCTTTTTAAAATTTATGTAAATTACAGTCGTACATATATACTAAATACTATACTATACCCTTTATAACTCTGCCCCAAATTACATCACCAATCTTGTCTCCAAATATCACCCAAACCATCCTCTCTGCTTCTCCCATGACCTCTTGCTCTCTAGCTCCTTTGTCTCCTCCTCCCATGCTTGTCTCCAAAACTTCTCCAGAGCCTCCCCCTTCCTCTTTACGCTCTACCCCAATTTATCAGACTATCGTCTACTTTGCCCACTTTTAGGCGATTTCTGAAAACCTATCTCTTCAGGAAAGCCTATCCTGCCTTCAGCTAATAATGGAATCTTCTATTCCTTCTACCAGTCCATCCCCCACAGTTATTACCCTTTGTACCACCAGCCTCTTCCTCTTGGATTATAAGCTCCAAGGAGCAGGGCCCTCCTAACCAGGGGCGGACTGACAACTCATGTGGCCCCTGGGCAATAGGGGATCATGGGGCCCCTGTGTCCTTGCCCAAACTCAAAAAAGCCTATGAAAAAGGTACCAGGGGCATCTCATGGGCCCCCTACTGACTCCGGGCCCTCGGGCAGTGCCCGAGTTTCCAAAAGGTCAGTCCGCCCCTGCTCCTAACCCTCTTGTATTGAACTGTATTGTTGCTGTATTGTCTCCCGTTATATTGTAAAGTGCTGAGCAAACTGTTGGTGCTATATAAATCCTGTATAATATTAATACCTAAGTACAATTAACAGATATACTAAAATCAACATGACTTGTTTCATTTGTAGGCAAAGCAAGCAATTTTGGAAATGGATGCAATACGTAAGTTTACCAGTGCGCTTTTATGTGTTTTTAGCATCTGTGATTTATATCATACTTTTTTCCTTTTTTTTTTTTTTTTTTTTTTACTTTTTTTTTCCCCTCTAAGGTCTCATACACCTGGACCTCCTGCATTTATGATCTGGAAAGTATAAATAAATGTTATACTTCTCAGATCCATTTCTCTTGTATCTAGGAGTGCTGTTGGTTTTTTTTGCACATTTACATGCGTTTACAAGTGTTTAACTGTGGAAAACCAGGTTAAGTGGTTCCAGGAAGCTTAAACTAAATGCACTTCAGCCAGACTGAATGCACCTAAATGTAGCTGAACTACTAGGTATAAATTCAGATGCTTCCAGATGCCTTTGGAAATGAGCCCCAAACACATCTGGATGCATGTATTATGATGCCTATGTGCTTTGGGCCTTAAAGTGGAATTCCAATCAATAGCTAACTAAAGCTAAAACTTCTCCCACCCCCATTCTAAAGCTCTGGTGCTGGTGCTTTTATGGTGGAATTCTGGTGCTTTAATGCACTCATTAGTATAAAGTGAAAATTCCCTTTAATTTAGAAGCCACATGTACTGTATAACATAATGGAGTTAGACTCCAAGGTATCCACAGCACTTATGATGAGATCTGTGGCTTCCTTTTGACAAGAAATGTAGACTTGACCACACCCTCAAAGTCATTGTGTTAGAAAATATATTAAGGTGGATGTACCAATTTGTCAGTAGTGACAGGTTTTCAGCCTTTTTTGTTTGGTCTTGTATTCATGAGCTAGCAGCCAGAGCCTTGGGAAAAACACTACAGATTTCCTCTGTGCATGCAGAGGGTCCTCCCAAACATCTTTTCAATCACTTGTTTATACAAGATTTTGCTCTCTTTTGTTTCTCAGTTTTAACTGTTATTCACATGTCACTAATGAAAATGGTTTATGCATTTTAGATCATCCAGGCTTCTCCTATGGTGCAGAGGGGGAGAAGAAATCCAATACAAATCTGAAAGAAGACTCAGTTTCATGTAGAGTCAGAAGAAAGTCAGGTAAGGAAAGCATATTTAGTTCTAGGATTTTATAAAACTAGGCATGAATGCTGAGAAGCATAGGCTCATTTATGACCAACTAATGAACCAATACTTTGCCCCCCCCCCCAAAAAAAAACATGGCGGCTGATTAAGTTTGAAATAGGGCAAAGCCACATCTTTATTAAATTTTGCAAATGTAACAACTTTAGGAGCCGTCAAGGCTCCTAAAATGCAGTTTATGTAATCTGGATTAGTTGTATACACTAGCCACAATGTTGGCCATTGAATCCAGAGCTTTGGTGAAGACTACCAGATTAGATCCTCGTAATTACGAAGCAGCTTTGTCAACTGGCTAAGTATTCCAGTGCAGTATCTTTATGCCTTAGACAAGTTTTATATATTAAGACCTTCCTGATGATGAATGAACTGTCCTGGCTGTAGACTTTCAATTGTAAAGAGCTATTTATAATAAAATGAGAAAACCTTATTTATACGACTGAACATATGTGGCTCGCAATCACACACATGTTTTTTTTTTAAATAGTATGCACCATATGTGTTGGGGCGGACAGCACAAAGAACACAAAAATGACAATAGATTTTAATTAACTTCTATACGCCAATTATGTTTCTCATATGCACCATTTTTAAAGCACATTTTGAATAGTATTTATTTTTTCAGAACCATCCTCAAGCCTGCATAAAGTAATGAATCAAAATGGTAAGCTAAATAAATGTACATTTTTAAATGAAAAAAAAACAAAACAAAACAAAAAAAAAAAAAAACTGAATGCATCTTATCGTGGTCTTACTTTTTTTGCTTTTGTTTTTCAGATATGAGCCCTGAAGTTCAGAAGGTAAGGTTACAGTAGATGTAAGCAATGGTTGTTTTGACAAATGTATTTTCTGATTTTGCTTCTTCCTTTTACTCTGTGACTTTGGGAGTTGGTGACAGCTTTGTGTGTGAGTGTGTGTAAGTAAGGGGGTTAGCATGGCTTGAACATGCCATAATACATATATGACCACTATCATTGCTGATTTATTTTAGAAACAGCAAGTCTGTTTTCATTATAATTGAACACTTAGTGAGTCATTGACCCAGGGATATAGACAAAGGCACTGGTGGCACTAATACCATAGAGGCCCACATGGTTGCTATGCAGCCCAGACCAGGGAGGTGGGTTGCAGTCAGGGCACCAAGAATAAGGAGCAGTTTGTATCTCTGCCCTAAAATTGTTTTGCCCCATTCAGACCTCTGTTACTGCAGACCCACAATTGATGGCAGTGACAGCTCACCTGATCGCTGCTGTCATTAGTAAACACTCAGCTAGCAGATTAAGTCTATTACTCACCACCTCCATGGCTCTGACGGATGACAACAAGTAGTTCAGAGCATGGTAGAGGAAGCGAGTAGTGGAAGATTTCCACTGCACTTTTTTTTTTTTGGTTTTGTTTTTTTTTTACAGGTGAAAGTATTGATCAGTTTAGCTGTCACTGTGATGGTCATGGATCCATAGTGATGGAGGTCTGATAGGGGGCTGGATTTCTATCAATTTGCGCTCTCATTCCATATGTCATTCTGTATGTTTCCTACTCCATGTCATCTTATTCATATACCATGCTATACATTCACTCATCACTAGTTATATATACTATTTGGTGCCGGCTCATTTCAGGTCATATAACATGCTATACATTCACTTTTGCGCAATGGCTCACTCCATATGCCATGCCATGCTATACTTTAACTATTCCTCATTGGTTAAAGCATTCGCCGTGCTGTATATCCTCTATGCCATGCTACCACATTCTGTATACAACACTGTACATTTCCTATTGTACACTACAGTACCTCAATCCATATTACATGTTGCACGTTCCCTCCTCTGCACTACCTCATTTCTTACACCATGTTGTATTTTCTCTATTTTGCACCACCCTATTTTATATGCTTTGCTGTATATGTTCTATTTCACACTGCCTCGTTTTTTCAGACATGCTGTAGCTTATTCTATGTCTCTCTCATGCCATACTATACCTTCACATTGCCAAATTTTGTATGCTGAACTGCATATTTTCTGTCCTATGCTAACACTGCATTGTACATTTTATATCCCTTCCTATTTTGTGCACTTTACTGTACATTCTCTACTCCACACAAGCTCATTCTGTACACTGTGTTGTACATTTTATGACGTGTGATGCTAAATACTGTGCTGTACCATAATGGGGCATGATAAAATTTCCCTTCTTCCATTGGTGTCAGTAGGACTCCCACTAACACCAATGACACCTTATTTCTTGGTGCCACTGACATCATGAAGGTGATTTGTTCTCAGGAATGCTGTTGCTAGCTTCTCATGATGACTATTCATCAGGGGTGGACTGACCATTTGGAAACTCGGGAAATGCCCGAGGGCCCCAGGGTCAGTAGGGGGCCCCTTGAGATGCCCCTGGTACCTTTTTCATAGGCTTTTTTAAGTTTGGGCAAGGACACAGGGGCCCCATGATCCCCTATTGCCCGGGGCCCCATGAGTTGTCAGTCCGCCCCTGCTATTCATCCACCTTGTAAAAGAAAAAAGATATTTATCCCCCCCCCCTAGGCTGCTGTTGGTTGGTGACTGGGTTACTACTTTAAGATATGTGTACATTTAATCAGTGCACGGTTATCCTTTTTCTCTAGCGTCCTGGTTGAATAAAACCAATCCTCCCCATCCATACAGCCTTACTTCCCTAAGTATCACCACTGCGTCCTTTTCAGTCCCTCCTCATTTGCTGTGGTAACTAGGATGTTGTACAATTGTATTTTTTTTTTTTTAGTGTTTTTAGTTGGGGAGTCAATTAGAAGTCATGCTTTCGGTACATGGAAAGAAGATCTGTCCTAAACAACTCCTCCTACCACACATTTAAGCTCCATTGGTCTCGATGGTTACAAAACCCAAATTGCTCCGTAAAATTCTGATAAATTAACTATAAAATACCTTGACCCATATGCCTAGACTGGTGCACTTACCCTTCCCCTCCTTCTCCCCTTTCCCACCACCCCTCTTTCCCTACTCCTTGTTCTCCACCCCCTATGGACCTCCTCTACAACCATACATGGTTCAGAACAAACAGAGCATACCACTCATGCTAACACCACATATTTCATTACTACCCCCCAGCCAATTGGTGGGGAAAATATTGTTTACTATACTGTAACTTCATATCTCAAAATGAACCGTATTTACTTATAATGTTTTGTTATAAAACCCTTCAATAAAAACTATTGAAATGTAAAGTTATGCTTTCGGGCCCTGTGCTTTCTAGTTACACCCTTGCGGTGAGCATTTCAACTTTGCTAGCTGTATTTTAATTCTGGGTCAGTGACTCTCTAGGTATTAAAGATGGAGAATAAAGGTGACAGACTGCAGCTACTACAGTAAGCCTGCAATGACAGAACCAATGTATCTGCTATAACTCTTTAACTTTAAGAGTAAACATCCATCAAAACTGAAATTTGACAGATAAAATGGTTGCATCAGACACAACCAACCAACCTTCCCAAGGCTTCAGCTTTTCATTCAGGCAGAGCTTTAATACACCATGCCCAATCCATCAGAAATTCAGTTTTGGTGCGTCTACCTGGCAGCATTTGTCAGTACTTTTCTTACTAAGCAGCACTCTCTTCACTGCCCCCAGAACTAGTAGCCTCTGCTGTCAATGGACATGACTTAGGCCTCATGTACATATGAACTCCCCTAGACATTAAGCTCTCCTAGCAGCAGAAAAACGCTAAATGAGGCACATACGCAGATAAACGCGGTACCGTGTTTAGCAGCATTTAGCGCATGGACATTTATTCATTTGATTGGCCCGAGTGTTTTCCATTGGCATGGATAAACGGCCAAGTACTAAACGTGGCTAGCATTTAAACCCTGTTTAGATGCATTTAGCCACGTTTAATGTTTTTTGGCCAAAATATTCCTCTCCTGAACATGATTCTTCTGTGTTCAGGAGAGGAACGTTTAACTGCCCTTAAACTCCTAAACTCTGGTGAAAGCCTATGTGTACATGGACTCATTGGCTTTGATTGCGTTGAGTTCAGGTGCTTTGGCAAACAAACAGCAAAAGCTCCTAAACTCACATTTAGGAGCAGCAGTGTACATGAAGCCTTAAGGTAGGATGCATTTTTGTCCAGGAGCCCTGTTATAGACAGATTTCCATGTCAGATATATCTGTATTTCAAAAGTAAACTTTCTAACATTTCCATTTCTATTGGAAAGCATGTTTGCAAAGTAATCTGAAGAGCATTAGCTGTTTTCTTTCCCTTAATTTTATTTGACTGAAGTAACTATTAAATTGAAATCTTCAGCTTCAGCAATTTTTTTTTTTTTTTTATGTACACAGTGCTGGGAAAGGTTAGAAACTCTGTCAACAGCAGTTTTTTTAATGGTATTGGTTCTCTGCAGCTCAGTAGCACTCTGAATTGTAGATTGCCCAGCACAATGGCTTGGAGTTCAGCACCTCTGCCTTGCAGCACTAAGGTCATTGGTTTGAATCCCAACCACATACTGGCATGCTAGTTTGCACAGGATTTCTCCGGGTCCACCAGTTTACCCCCACACTCCAAAGACACGCAGGTAGGTTACTTGGCTTTTGTGTACATTGGCTCTAGTATGTGTTTGTATGCATTTGAGATTTGGACCTTAGATTGCAATCTACTAAAGAGCAGGTACTGATATGAATGTACAGTATGTGTAAGGGTGCAGGGTGCACACACTCAGATTATATTTCAACCTTATCTGTTAATTTAACACCAACCTATGCTATATATGTAGTGCAAGGACCTACCTGACAAGAATATAAGCTACATACTTTAGATTGTTTAGGAAGGCCCTCAAATTTAATCGTTCCTGGCAAATCTTACATTGGTTGTACAATCAGACTGCAATGTTCCTGTCCGCTTTAGAACAGTACAATTATTTAAGTCTATTCCTCAGGCCAAATAGGAACAGTCAAAAAAAAAATGGCCTGAGAAATTTTTTTTCACATATGGGACAGTTGGGAGTTATGATTTTTTTTAAAAATGTCTTTTCATTGTGTTTATTTTATAGCGCATCAGCGTGCAGGGTAGTCTACTGTGTCAGGCTGGCAAACTGGGATCAAGGGAGCTTCTTCTGAAATCTGGCCTGCGAAAAAGTGCCAATGTGGGTGACTCCCAAGATTTCTTCCAGCAAACCTATAACCGTGAAAATCTGTGTCTAAGGCCAACAGGACAGACTGATGCTGATGATGAAGAAGAAAGTGAACAGGTGCATATATTCAACATAAATATCACCTGTAGATGTCTTTTTGTTGTGCACAACTAATTATTTTTCAGTATAATATATAATAGATCATGTTTGTTGTTGGTTTTGAATTTGAATGAATGTACGTTGCTTAGCGTAACAAGGATTTTCTTAAATTCCAGAATATGCATCACAGTTCTCAACAGAAGTCAAAAAGTGGAAGAAAACGATTAAACAGCCAGGCATCTGAAAATGTTGAGAAGCGTAGAAGTATTAATCTCAGCCTATGTGACAGTCAGGTTAGCATACATCTTTTCTCAGAAGGTTTGGGGAAGATTTGCTAATTTAAGGGTCTTGTATAACACAATATGTAAGCATGATTGTCATTCCTTAGGACTGGTTCACACCATGAATAGCACAGGAATGTGCTTTGCCTTCCTGTGTGATTCACATACAATCCCGGTGCAGTGCCACTACTTGCACAGCAACCAGATTGCATGGTATTTCTTTACCTTTAATCTTTTCTCACTTTGCTATCTCAGCTTGCCAAACAGGTTAACAATCTAGAAAGGACACATCAGTATATATGGTGATTAATTCATACCCTTGGTTGGGAAGCCAAGTGTGGTGTTCTGCTGGAAAATACAGAAATTCACTTTTAATGAAATTCTTACAGGTGTTAAAAATTAACATTAAAATGTCACTAAACTCTATTTTTTTTTAAATCCGTTTTGGGTGGAGTGGGTGGATTAGAAAACCTGTCAGGTTTTTATTGCTGTCTGTGCCCCTGTTAGGGAGATTCATTTTCTCTATTTGTCCAGCTTACCGTTATCGACATTGAAAGTAACAGAAAATCCCAAATTTTTTAGTTGACATCAGAACAAGAATAGAGGGGAAATCTTGGTTCTGATGACACGCTGGGATTCCCTCAGTTTGGAGGGATTTCTTTTTACTTCTGTTTTGGCTATGGGAAAGGAAGTGAAGGGAAATCTCCCCAATGGGACACAGCTGGCGAAAAAACCTGATAGGAGTTCTAACCCTCCCTTACTTTTTCCAAAATTAAAAAAAAGTTTTGCCCTTAGGGCCTGTTTACACCATGGCGCAGAGACGTCAGTTTTTTGGCACACGTTCTGCAAGTGCACAACAAAATCAGTTGTTTTCTATGTGCCCTGTTCACAGCACAACACTAGTATCACGTGCAGATTTTTTCTGCAATGGATATAAAACTCGATGGAGCGTACATGAAAACTGATGTAACCTAATGTGAAACTGATGTCTCTGCAAGTGAAATCTGCATGTCAGTTTCCATCAGTTTTTCTGAAGGTATGGTGTGAACGAGAGCATAGTGACACTTTTATTGACAATGTTGTCAATGACTTCAACAACACCCTTTCCCCACTGCCCTCTATATAGAACGAGGAGAAAAGGTGCTAAGAAAGAGAGAGCATTGGAACAAATGATCCACAAGGAAAATAGAAAAAAGGGGGAGAGAAAAAAAAAGGTTAAAAAGGACAACAAAGAAAAAGAGAGGAAAAAAATGATTGATTTCACAGCACACCCCATCAGAATCTTTTCAGTAACAACAATTTAGTTTGCTAGACTCTGCTCCCGTGTCTGCATTAACCACTTTTTATACACCCTATAGCAGAAATACTGCTACAGGGCAGCACAGATGCGCAAAATCATGTATAAACACATGATTTTGCAGTTCTGGGTAGGGGGCGCGTGCCCTACTTATGCCACCATTCGCGGCCTCGGCTGTCAATCACCAGGTCCCGGCTGGTGATTACTTGCCGATACCTGGTGATCACCGAGTATCTCCAATGGGGAGAGAACTGTATGTAAACAATACAGTTCTCTCCCCTGTCAGCTCTTGTAGACTGAAGTGAAGTGCACATAATGTGAAACAGAACACCGTTAACCTCCCTGGAGGTATTCCTGAGTGTATCTTGGGGTAAAGTTTCAGTACCAGAAGTGGTAACCCCCGAGCTACACTCGGGAATACCCTGCAGTTTTGCTTCGGGATTCCTTCTGCACTTACCTTGTCCTGCACTCCCCCTGCAGCGTCCCCGGCCATGTCCTCCGGCCGATTCTGGCATCTGTCTTCCAGGTTCCGTTCCCTGCGACGTCGGGACGTACGAGGACGGAACTGGCGGGAAATTTAAAAATGTCAAATAGTGACATTCACTAAATACACTAAAATCTCATAGTAAGACATTACTGTATCAAACCATTTCACATACATTTTGTCCCTAGTGCTTTGTCCTGTGCCCTGCCTGCATTTTTTCTGTTCTTTCTGCCTAGAAACTGAGAAACGTCCATGGCGTCCAAAAAGCGTCCCTTTAGATCAAAAGCGGTTTTAGACCAACTAGAGAACAGCGATAGTAAATCAGAACTACTTGCAGAATTGAGTGATAATGATTCGTGGGGAAATTCGTCATCAGACACTGAAAACGATTTTGCGACTTTGCTCAGTGATGTGCAAACTTGGCGCTATATTTCAAATTTCAGTGTTTTTGGTTTGATTATATTATTGAAATAAGTTTATTATATTATTATTTTTCATGATTATTATATTATAATTTATGATTTCGTGTTTCAAGTTTTATCATACTCGTGATGTTTACTGGACTCTTGTTCGGACAGATTTCAGTGAGTTATTCCTAAAAATTACAGGCCTACAATAAAAAAGCTACATATTTCCATGCAAAAAAAGTACTGCTTTGAGCACAGAAATACTGACATAATCAGACCGGTAAGGAGGTTAACCCTTTGATCACCCCAGATGTTACCCCCTTCATGCCTAGTGGCATTAGTGCAGTGTCAGTGCTTTTTATTAGCACTGATCACTGTATTGGTGTCACTGGGGATGTCAGTGACACCAAGTCAATTCCGCCCAGTGTCAGAATGCCCGCCGCAGTCCCGCTATAAGTTGCTGATGGCCGCGATCAAATACAACCAAAAAAACGCTCTATTCGTAGGAAAAAAAAAAATGTACATTTAATTTGGGTGCAGCATTGCATGACCGTGCAATTGTCAGTTAAAGTAATGCAAAGCCGTATCGCAAAAAATGGCCTGGTCAGGAAGGGGGATAAATCCTTTGGAGGGAAAGTGGTTAATATCATCTAAAATCAGTGATAAACTTATTTAGATAAATGTGGTCCTGGTATTTTAAGTTAAACCCTTTACCACTCCCATACATGTCTAAAGCAAAAATATTTGTTTTTGGATAGGAAAAGGAAAATGTTAATTGTGAAAAAAGAACTGGATGGATACAGGCACACATAATAGACCGTATTTCTCTCCACGTACAGAAATTGTTATGGCTTTTTAAAATAATTTTAAATATTTATATTTTAATTATTTTTAATATTCTCATGTTATAATGTACAATTTTCATTCATGTTGTATTTGTATTTTTTGGTTTTAGAGTTCCAAAGACCAATCAGATGAAGAGACTTTGCAACTGACTAGTGACCATCGGTATTCAACATCTCCTCTTCCCACAAACATAGAACAGGGTATTTCACAGACAAATTCTCTCATTATGAATATCCTTGGAGGAGCTGGTGCACTGCAGAACATCTGGACTGATCACCAGATTAGACAGGCCCTCTTTCCACTTAGGCGGTCACCTCAAGTCACTGATGAAAATGATGATGACTACCAGATGTTTATGATGAATGAATGCTCCAAATTGGAATCATCAAGGTCACAAGAGGAAAGAGGTGCATCCAGTAGACCATGTAGCTGGCATCTGGGCCTAATGCAAGAAGATGGTGCAAGCAATTCATACTGCAAAGTTGTCAGAAGAGCAAGTAGTGTAGGAGAAAATAAAACACATCTGCGTCACTCAAGAAGCAGACAAAATAACAGCAAATACCACTGTGATGTTTTAAAAAAATTTTGAGCCAAATCCTAAATTTTCTTCTCTTGGTTCATCCGAGGAGTTAACTATTGATGACATTGAACATGTTTATGACAACATCAGCTATGATGATCTCAAACAGATGGGAAGGAGAGATGAGTCAGACTTCCTGATTAACACAGTGAGTGATACTTTGCAGCAAAGTAATGACAATATTAACCTTCAGTCATTAAAAGGACCTGAAAGGAACAAGTCTACTTCAGTGCCAAACAAAGAAAAAGTGATGCTTAAAAGAGGGACATCTCATTCAAGCTCCCAGGAGCTCAGAATAATAGAAGAAAACATCTATGACTCTATATGTATACAAAAACAATCACTGGAACAGAAAAGGAAAAATCAGCGGTCCAAGAGGAACAGCTTTATGGGCTTGGATGGAGAATTTCAGTGTTTTGATGCCACAGATCATTTTGTGTCTGAAGATAGTTTACAGTTCAGTGAGGACGAATCCTCAGACCATCGTGTGCCAGAAGGAGATGAATATTTTAGCCAGCTTCAAACTTCTTCAAACTTGGATTCGGTTTCCCACAAAGCTGCAGCAGACAGGCTGTCAGAAGAAGTAGATAAAATCTGGAATGATTTGGAAAACTACATAAAAAAGAACGAAGAAAAGAAAAATGAACGCTTATTGGCCTCCTTTCCAGTGAGCAAAGAGGATGTTCGTGAAAAGAGACAAATGCAAAATAGGTCTCGTTACAGCAAAGAATATTCATTATCATCACTGTGCTTACTAGACAGTTCACCTTTGCCGAGGGCAGTAGTAAGTAGGAGCCCCAGTATCCATAAAGAAGACCTGAGTCCTCCAGCCTCTCCTAGTAGTTCGGTATTTAGCCTAAAAAGGACTTCTCTGACTAGTGAGATGAGTTTTGTGGAGTCACCATACTTTTCATCTCAGAGCACTCTAACCCTCTCTGATAAAATGAGTTCTTCTCATGGATTAGATAGTGCTGAAAAATCAAAAAATAAAGTCTTTACAATGGCAAGAGAATACAGCCAGAAAATCAGAAAAGCCAATCAACTTTTAAAAATGAAAAGCCCAGAGCAGGAGCAACCATCTTGCAAATCACAAAAGCTAAAGGAGAAAGACCTTGCTGCTATAATGGAAGAAAAGAAACAAGGCGGTACAGCGATCGGTAAGCAGTTTGTTTATCACACAAATAATTAACAATGGTCTATGGTGAAGGAATAATGTAATTTTAATTTTTATGACCACCAACCACAACTAAGGGTGGTCGTGAAACAATATTCCAGTTTCCCAAACCATAGAGTTTGCATCATATCACCATAGGTTAGATATGACCTACAGCAATAGGCATCAGGTTTCCTGTGGCCCACAGACAGCTTGTCTGTTGTGTGATACTACCAAAACCAAATAGGTTTAAAAGGCCTATGAGTACCTCAGGGGCGGACTGACCATTTGGAAACTCGGGCACTGCCCGAGGGCCCGGGGTCAGTAGGGGCTCCATGAGATGCCCCGTACCTTTTTCATAGGCTTTTTTGAGTTTGGGCAAGGACACGGGCCCCATGATCCCCTATTGCCCGGGGGCCCCATGAGTTGTCAGTCCGCCCCTGGAGTACCTTAAGATAGTATTCCCAAATCTAGGGTACCTACCTTGACCCATGTCAGATAGTACCTCAGAGCTAATTGTAATATATCAATCTTCTCCCCCAGGTGTGACATCAGTAAACTGGTGCAAGGGCCATAATGTGGCTGTTGGATGGTATTCTCCATTTAGTATTATGGATGTAGAATATTGTGAATGCAAAACTTACTGTAGCCATGAGGTGCTTGGTTTCACAGTAATCTGGCTCTATGGTTTCACTGAAAAGTTAAAGGAATGACATGGGCATATAGGACAGCAAAGATAGGGAAAAGGTTTATAGGCTGAAAGACAGATCAACAAAAAAAAACATGAGCAGTGAACATGGGGAACAATTATGTACAGGGAAAAATTGCTCATCGGAAATGTGAGTGCAAATTTTGACAAATAGCAGTTTTGCAGTATTCAGGGTCATGTAGACAGGGAGATTCTTATTTACGAAGCAAAGCAGGAGCAAGAATCAACTCAAAATGACAGGCTCTTTGAAGATTGTGATAATGACCAGTGAACAATGACATCCATGTCACCCCCAGGAAAAATGTCTTCCGATCAAATTCCAATCCACTCTAGTTCACTTTAGAACTTTAGTTTTTAGTGATGTTGTCCTTGCCTGCTAGTACTGTAGAAAAAATTAAGTGATTGTTGGAAGTGCATCTAGATGGAGGAGAATTTCGTCAAATGTCATCATTGTGTTTTGCCTAAGCATATTTTGAGAAAGTATAAAATTTTAACATTTCTACATCTAAAGTGTACTGTATGTCTGGGTATAATAAAAAAAAAAAACATATTCAATACATATCTGTAATACATGGACATTTTATCCCTTTGAATTGCTGTTGATCTGTATGAAATCCAGTGTGTTCCTAACTTCCTAAATTTGAGCTGATAACTTTGTGCCTCTGCTGCACTGAAACTTTAAGCAGTTTTGTAATTTTCTGCCAAGTTTGTTTTTTCTATAAAACGCCTCTCCCTCTCCTTATCTCCATAACATAAGGGAGAGATGTTCTGTTGTCTAAGTGGAGAACTCAGGCAGGGATGACGACACTGCTTGGGACTTTAGTGAAGCAGAGACCGCGTTTTCCAGCTTACTGGATTTTTTGCTGGATCTATATTTATTTTTCTCTGCTTGCAAGAGACAAAACATGGGAAAGTGGGCTGCAGGGATTAATTTATTAGATTCTTTTTCAATCTGCCAAGGTATAGACTTTTATTTTAGTATTTTTATTCTGTAAAGGTTAAATCAAGGGTTTGTTTTTTTTATCATTTTAAAAGCCATTGTTCTTTTGTTGACAGGTGCAAGAATTGCAGAATATTCTCAGCTTTATGACCAGATTCTATTCCGTGATTCCCCTGCAAGAGCAAAAAAAGAAGGTAGAGACAGCACAAAAGACTCGCCTGTGGTTAAGTCTCAGGAACGGCTATCCCCTCAACCGCCCTCTAAATGTTCACCAACAACCAATATGCATACTGTCAATGTCAATGGAGAAACTAGAGACTTTTTTACCAGAGGGAAACAAACAAATCTAGCAGCCACCTGCTCTGTCCCGTCCTTGAACAAGTCAAATCCTTCAAGTCTACATACACAGAGGTGGAGTGCATTTAGCCAAAGGAAGGATGAAAATACAAGCCAGAATCATGGCTATAATTCATTAGGGAGGAGAATATGTGAAAGTGCCCGTCCGTATATTCGTTCCCAGTCCTCTTCTTCCATGTTACTCCACAGGACAAAAGAGCCTGTTAAATATGTAAAACATTCTACTATGCCACAGTCACGGCATGACTCTAAACCTGAGAGAATGTCTGAAATTTATGATTTTGGTGGCAGCTCCACTGAGGAGAAAGTACCACAAGAGGAGAACTCAGATTTGACATTACAAGACTCTCAGAAGATCCTAGTGTTGAACACGTTGTCTTCGCTAAATGCACAAATTGCTACTTTAAACTATTTTGCAAACTTCAAAGACAGTGAAGGTGATGGCGATGATGATGACTATGTGGAGATAAAGTCAGATGACGAGGAAGATAGCTTGGAAGCTTCTTCCAACCAGGCAGTAAAGCTGAACATACATGATGAACATCCTCAAAGCCCATTCTCTAGCACACCATATTCCTTCAGCATGCCCAGTACACCAGTTAAGACTATAAATGACAAGGAAAGCCTTGATTCCCACATAACAGGTTACGACGATGTAGATAAACTAAAAGACTATCTTTGGAGGCCTCCATCCTCCAACCAGCAGAACATTGTTCAGTCACTGCGAGAAAAGTTTCAGTGTCTTAGCTCCAGCAGTTTTGCTTAAATGCTTTTTTTTAAACAATTTCTAGCTAAACTACTGTGGTTAAATGTATTATAGCATAGTAACCTGATGCACTGTATAACTGCAGCACTGTTCATTCTAAATGTCTGTTGCATATCATTGTTTACATAAGGCAGCAAGGCCTACTTTGTGTTTTTTAGTTAAGACTAGCTCCTTACAAAATAAAATGTGCTTTTTTTTTTCCTCTTTTAAGGGAAACTATTCCTAAATAAATAGGCAGTATGATTTATGCAATTTGCACACTTATCCAAGTGCCCCAGTTGCAGAATGATTGCTATGCAGTATACTATAGACTTGACATAGTTGTTAACCTGCTTCCTACCAGGTAGTTTAAAATGCTTAAACCGTTTTCAATAGGCATATAATATAATGAAAAATAATAATAAAAAAGTTAATCTGTGGCTTCCTGATCAAGCAAATCCACTAATTCTACACTTTGGGTTCTGTTGGCTGCATGCTTTGAAAACAAGTGAAATTGCATGATTGCTATGCAGTTTACAGGTGTACTGGATAATAGGATTCAGACAGAGCTCAGAACCAAAAGCTTGATCGTAGCAGCTTCGTCATCCAGTACAGAAATACACGTGTGTCTACTCTGAACAAAATCAGACAAGCAACTTCAGGTGCATAGATTTCATAATGGGGAAAATGTGTTGAACTGATTAAAGTGACTTTGTATCCTCACAACACCACTAGCATTAAAGATGATAGTCTTATAAAAAAGGGCAACTTGAACATTTCCTGTAGTTGATCTTTTAGCACATGCCTGTTTAATATATAAGCCTAACTCCAGCTAGAAAGTTTTAGTTGTAGATACAGTGGGAAAATATCAGTTTGTGATCCTACTAGGGAGATTTTCCCTCCTTGTCCTTGTCATGTTCATACAAACAATAAGGTAGGAGAGTGATAACTCACCAGATGATTATCAGCCCTAACCCTTCGCTTCTCTGTCCAAAAGAAGATGGGAAAGAAAAAGTTTTGGCTAGAGCTGAGCTTTAAAGTAATCAAAAAATGATTTGCAAAATACGGTAACTCCTGACAACCACTTTTAGGTTTCAGTTGCCTGTGTTGTCACCAAGACAGGGAATAAGCAAAATCACTTTAAGGGAGCCAAGGCAGCAGAAGAATATTTTTAAAGGTAGAATGGGGAAAAATTATAACTTCTATCAGACTTTTATTGCCATCCTTTTTGGAGAAATATCCTCACTTTGTCTGCGTTCACCAGGACTGGAAGTCAGGTGAAATAACCACAACAATGCCACAGGTGGTAATATAAACTTGACAAAGGTATAACCCTTCCCCACTCTAACCAAAGCCAAAACATTTGTGTTGGCTGGCTATGGGCTTTAAGTTTAAAGTTGTCTCTCTATGCACCTTTAGTAGAGAACAGCAAGTCAAACATGGATTTCCAATTCATCTAATTTATAATGTAACCCTTGACGGTGATGGTAGATTTTTTTTTTTTTTTTAACTCCATACACTGCCAGCTTGTCTCATTACTTGGAATATCTCAAGCCAGTTATGGGTAATTTACCACTTATAAAAACATGCTAGTTGCCATTGTGTCTCATGAATATTAATAGACATTATACTACATGGTTTTATAAAGTCTTATTTTGATAGTATAGTAATAAAACATTTTAACAGATTTTGCTTGATAGCTGTACATTAAAGACAGATATTCATTGCCTTTATGTAGCAATAATATAAGGCCCTATGTTGGCATGGTGATCTCTGTGTAGTAGATAATCTTTGTATAGTGTTCATAGATTTTAGAGTAGATAATTTAAATTTTTAATGTATTCTTTGACTTTGTTCTGCATGTTTCTGCATTGAGGGATAGGAGGCCTCGTTTTCAATATATTTATTCCGAGCAGTCATGGGATATCACCCTTTTCTTTAAAACCGCAAAATCATTAAAATATCTGAACACACTACATGGGTAACTGTTATAACATTGTAATTTTGCATTGCAAAAACTTGCCATTCTCTACTGTTTTTTACACAAAAGCAGTGATATCAGTATAGCCATAACATTGTCATTCCTTGGAACTGGAGGTATGGTGACTATTTTTATGTATATATTTGGTTCGGTGAAATCTTAAGTTATTATGAGGTTTTTTTTTTTCTATATAAAGTGTGCTATCACTTATTTCTGCATCTATTTACCAGATATTAATAACATAAAAGTTTAAAAATTTGATGCAAAATAAAATTATGAAAAGATATATACTTCAATCACATATTACTGTAATACAGACACATACATTTGATGTTAAAGTGTATGTAAAGCCATTGTTTTGAATAGAGTATGAAGGGTTAGAACCCCTGATCTGCTTTTTATTGCTGTCTGTGTCCTCGCTGGGGAGATTCAACCTGCCTGTTGGTACTGATGACCTCTGTGTCTAGTACAGAAAGTGATGTGAAATCCAAAGCTGTTAAATTGTCCCAAGAACAGGAAGTATTGGAAAATCTTTAAAATGAGTTAACCAAATTTGTTGACAACTATCTTGCTTATTATAGATTTTTTCTTGCTTACTGTTGCATCTCTGATACAGGAAGTGAAGGGAAATATCCCCAACAGGGTACAGAAAAAAGCAGAAAATCTGGTAGGGGCCCAAACCATTCCTCCCTTTATCCAAAACTGAAAAATAACCTTTTGGCTATACATACACTTTAGGTGTGTTTATCTAGACAACCTGGTTCCCCCTAACTACTTTTAAATTTCTTGCACTTACCAAAGTGTTTTAAGGTGTGTAAGGGACCACTCCTTCTTAGGGTGTGCTCACACTAGGCAATCTATACCAAGCCTGAGCCCATTTGACCCCCAAAAGTCAAGTTTGTTTTATGAGCATGATTATGTAACATACTTGAGTACAGTTTAGTGTACAACACCCTGGCTTGCTTGAAGAGATGGGATTGGGCATGGTTTAGTTTGACCTGCCACTATACACATCTATGTGAGACAGAGCTGATGATGTAAGTGTGCTAGACCCTTAAAGTGTCTGTTGCTAAAATAAAAAATTTAACTACATACACCCCTGCAAAGAAAACATAGAATATTCACCTTTCCTGCTGTGCATGTTGGCAGTAACAAAGAAAAATGTCCAACTGAAGATCACTTTTGGCGATATAGATTTCTAGATGCCCAGCATGCACCCTGTGATTCCTTCTTCAGGTCCTTAAGTCACTACTGTGTTGTAGAGTTAGTCTTTTTTTTCTTTGAAGGGAGACTTTCATTCCTAATTTTTACTTTAGGGAAGGAATAATTTAAAGAAGGGAAGCAAAAAAGTCACAGTGATGGGAGAATGACTCCCCACTAGAATACTGGAGACCTTTAACAAAGGTCTGAGAGACTAAACTTAATCAAAATCTACCAAAAGCTACTGAGGAGGATGTATCCACGAACTATATAACCCAATATCGAAAAAAGCTGCAACATACATAGTAGAAATGAGAATTCATTATTTTAGTCTTGTAAATTTGCACTTTGCAGATTACTTTGAACTGCAATTAATAAACCCTATATCATTCAGTAGTTGACATCCAGGAATAACATGGTGAATTAAATACTTATTTGCTAGCCTACAGATCAAAATCAATAGAAAAAAACAGTACTACTATTCTACCACACACACATAAAATAGATAATCTGCTAATTACACACAGATTAGCCCACGTTTTTGGAATATGGCTGCCAAGAACACAATTCAGCTGTTACTACAAAGTTTTGAGTTGCATTAAGGCACTTCATGTGAATTTAAATAAAATTAAAGCCTTTATATGTGTTGGATTTACAGGCTGACTGTTCACATGTAAAAGGTTCTTATTTTAGACGTGTGCTATGGATTACTTGTATAGGCAGTGTTTGCAATAGATAAAATTTAGCTTGCAAAAATAATGGTTCAGTTGAATTGACTTGCTCTTAGCTGGAACACCAGCATTTCAATATTCAGTGCCACTGGAAATATATATAACATAAACTCACAAAACTGCTCTTGTATTGACTAGCAGCAAAGTTCATTGCCATAAATGTATGAACAAAAGTGGCGCTGTACATGTTAAGATTTATTAATTTGTAGAGGTGGATGCCTGCACTATGCTGTGTAGATATTTAGGTCAAATTATGTACATAAACTGTTTTGTGCACATCTAAATCTCACTTGTCTTCTTGTCCTATGGATGAGATTTGATTTGTTTTATGTTCAATAAGTTGCACTTTTTCATGTTTTTGTATATATTAAAATGTCTGTACATTTAGAAAAAATTAAATCTTTTCATTTGTTTTATGTAAATAATTGATTAAAAACTGTTTTGAAAGCATGCTGTTCTTGAAAAAATGTGTAATTTTATGATGTCTAGTAAAAAAAAATAAAGCAGTGTTTCGATCTAATGTTGTGGTGAATTAGGTATTTCTTCTTTGCTGACGTTGTGCAAAAATTAACCAGAATGATTAGTGGACTCATGCAGTTGCTTATGGTACATCATGCTTTCTTTTTAAGCCTGGGTTCACACTGATGCGGTGCAGAATTTGCAGAGGTTTCTGTGCGAACTCCGTACCTCATCATAATCGCACCCCATTCATGCGAACCGATGCGAGTGTGTATATTAATACCCCGAAATTGGTCCGCAAACCACAATGTGCAGAATCGGATCGCATGGGTTTGAATACCCATGCGATCCGATTCTAGTGCGGTCCAGCTGCGGTCATTTAGATTTCACAGGAATATGGTTGGGATTATGTCCATTAATAATGTTTAGTGTATTTTTACCATAAATATAATTTGGATATTTTCTCTGGCGGTGAGGGGCTGTCAGGTAGGCTGCATGGGGACCCGTGATATCTAACAGTGGCCCTGGGTGTATGATTGTGTCCGTGCCACCTGTATAGTTGGAAGAACAATATCTTCTTCTATGGAATACCTTGAACCTCTGTTATGTACCTCAATGCATCTAGGAATTGGACACGTTTTCAACTGAAA